GCACCTGCAGCTCTCGCACCTGCCTGCGCAGCTGCTCCACCTCCTGCTTGTAGCTGGCTTCGATTTGCCGCAGTCTGTGCTGAATCACATCCGTGGGGAAGGGGAGCCCATCATCATCCAGGTAGAGAGGAGGCACAGGAGAAGGACATTTTGGCAGCATGTGCTTGGGACCAGATGCTTGTTTCAGGTGGCAGGGTAGCCACAAACAGCTGGGCTTCCCTGTGGGGCCTGCAAAATGCGTGCCGACGTGGCCAGAGCAGACTGAGGGTTTTGCACCTTCTCTGGCAGACCACTGGCCACTGAGGCACAGGCCTGGTGCCCGCAGAGATTTGCTGCTCAACCTCTTGCTACGGCAGCCATAGGAGAGGAGGCGTCTGGGTGCAGGCTCCCCATTGGGGAGTGATGTCACCATTCCTTGAAAACTGTCCCAGTTGGACCCCAGGAAGGAGAACTCACTGCTCTGGCTCTGGGAAATGGGCTTGCACCATTGCTCTAGTGGGACTCTCCCCAGCTGGCCAGGCTCCTCGCAGGGCACACTCCTTCCAGCACTGCCTTTGCCACTGTCTTCATCTGGGCAGGGGATGCCCGGGGCAGGGCCTGGGATGTCCTGACAAGGGGCACTTGGTGCTAGGGACTCCTGGCTGGGAATGTCTTGGCAGGTGGTGTTCCTCTTGGGGCAGTTTCCTCCATTGAATACCATGCCAGTAGCCTCCAAAGGTTCCTGGGGACCAGTTTCTAACTGCTTTCTGGAACTGATGGAAACCCTGTCAACATCTTCCTGTCCAGAAGGATTTGGAGCTGGACATGTGCCATCCAGTTCCTCCATGTATGTTCCGTTTCCCTTTTCTGCCTCCAGAGAGACACTGCTTGCTGGCACAGAAGCCCAGCTGCTCAGCTGCTTGCTATGCCCTTCGTGCTCAGCACGGCTGCTACAAGCGTTGTTGGCTTGCAGGGGAGCATTTTCCTCTTGCTCCTCCACCTTCCGTGTCTCTCCTGCAGCCACCGCATTGCCTTCGCCCAAGTGCGGCTCAGCGCCCTCAGTGGTAGCATGCCGGGCTTCCAGGCCCACCCGGACTTCCTGACAGTGGTTATTCAGGTTTGGATCGCTAGATGTGCGGGTCAGTGGGCTGCTGGAGTCACAGGCTGAGAGCAGGTCATCCATAGATCTTGTCTTTGGTAATCTAGAACCCAAAAGCAATGTAAATCTCACCACAAAACTCCTGAAACTTCCCTCATTTCAGTCAAAACTGAGATGAGGGTCGGGAAGTGTTCTTAATTACAGATCATGGGTGGGTGGGAAGGGGCAATGCAGCAGCACAAGCTGAAGTGCAAAACACTTCAGCGTGGCCTCCACAGTCTGCCTTTTTAGGTGCAGCAGGGAGTTGTACACATTCTTCTCCAAGTGACTGGGACAGTGCTACAGAGCTCCTGCTCGCCACAGGAAAGATGAGAACAACAGATATAACAGAGGAACTACAATAAGCAAAGAAGGAAAGAAGGCCTGTGGGCAGGAGGCAACCTGGGACTGGGGATCTAAGGCTCTTACCTGTCCAAACATCTGCCACTGAACTCCTGGCTCTGAGATCCAGGGGGCAGGTAAATGTCCATATCATCCTGTCCCAGAGGATGCGGTGAGGAAGCTGGGAGATATACTGCTGTCCAGACATGCAGCGCTCGCACGTGGCACACTGGATGCAGCACCTGCAACAACCACTTACAATCAGAGATGAACACAAAAGGAAACCCCTCCAGTCTCTCCCCACACAGTACCTGGTGCCTGGCAGGCGGAGAGCCTGGAAAGCTGGGCCAGGAGCTCTACTGACCTGCTCAGACCCTGGCATATAGAGAAGATTGTGGAAGTTCTTATTGCCAGCCCGCAAGAGGGACCACACGGAGCAGGTACGTTTGTAGATGTTGTGCATCTCTCGCTCGCACGGGCTGTTCCCAAGGAAGGTCCCATAGAGGCAGGAATACGTGTGCTGCACCAGCTTCACCTGCAGCATCAGAAGTGGAACAATTGTCCAGGCCATTGGGAAATGGTATCTTCTGTCTACAGGGGCACCACCTTCCACCCCTCTGGGATGGCACATACACTTCCTACCCAGCCAGTCACCCTACTGCTGTCCTCTCTGCCACACAGGGCAGAACAGAGAATAGCAACAGGAATCACTTAGATTAAAATGAAAGCAACAGTCAACTGATACCATACCCATCCTTGTATAACCCTAACCTGTGTTATTCGATAAGACAGAGATTAATAGCTATCGTTTCCCTCATATATTTTTTTAAAATGTTTCAGACTCATATTGCTCCAAGATATGCCAATCAGGCTTTTAATCAAAACAGTGCTGCTGATGGTATCTGAATTCACTGGGCTAGAAAGGGACCTGAAGTGATTCAAAGAAACCAGAGAAGATAAAACCTTCACCACTGTGCAATCTGCTAGGTACTCCAAGCTTGCAATACCCACTGGGAGGACCAATAAATTGCAGGCAGCTAAGCAGAGGCTGGCAGAAGCATCACACATACAGAACCAGGTCAAAATACCACAACTGAAGGGCAGGGCTGGACCCACACAGT